TTAAAGAAAATACTTGGTATTGTGTTTGAATTGACCTTCTGCTATTTAATGCCTAAGGACTTTGAAGGGAAAGAATGCTTTCCTGCATTCTTTCACAACACCAAGCATGACCAAGAAAAAAATCACACAATAGAGAAAAGGAATTGTAGGAAGGAAGCATTCCTGGGATGAACCCAATAGGATGCTTGTTTAATTTATCAGCCAAAGAGGGACAATTTTGAAAATAAAAGGAAATACTAATGAGAAAGGAAACTTTACAACAACACTGTCCTGAGAAAATTGGAGCAGATGGCTATCCTGCCCATTAAAGAGCACTCAAACAATCCTAAAATTTGTATTGAAACAAAAGAACCCAAATAGTTAAAGCAATCTTGAACAAAAAGAACAAAGCTGAGGGGCATCACACTACCTGATTTCAAAATATACTGCAAAGCTACAGGAACCAAAGCAGCATGACAGTGGCATAAAAACAGACATGTGGACCAATTAAACCACAGAGAAACCAGAAATAAATCTGTACATTTACAGCCAACTGATTTTCAGCAAAGGTGCCAAGAACACACAATGGGAAAATAAGAGTCTCTTCAATAAATGGTGTTAGTAAAACTAAATATCCACATGCGGAAGAATGAAATCAGACCCATATTTCTCACTATATGCGAAAATCAACTCAAAATGAATTAAATAACTAAATATAAGACCAAAAGCTATGAAACTACTGGAATCCAAAACAGGGGAATAGCTCCATGACATTGGCCTAGACAATGATTTTTTGGATATGACCTCAAAAGCACAGGCAACAAAAGCAAAAATAGACAAATGGGATTACATTATACTAATAAAACTTCTTCACTACAGACAAAATCAAGAGTGAAAAGACAACCTAGAGATTAGGATAAAATATTTGCAAACTATTATTCTGATAACAGATTAATATCAAAAATATATAAGGAATTCAAACAACTCAATAGCAAGAAAGCAAATAACCCAATTGAAAAATGAGCAAAAAAATTTGAATGGACTTTTCAAAAGAAGACATACAAATGGCCAACAGGTACATGAAAAATTGCTCAACCTCACTCTTCTGAGAAATACAAACAAAAACCACAGTGAGATATTATCTCACCCTTGTTAGAATGGCTATTATAACAAGTGTTGGCCAGGATGTGAACACTGTTTGCAGAAATGTAACTTAGTACAGCCATTATGAAAAACAATATGGCATTCCTTCAAAAAATTAAAAATAGAACTACTGTATGATCCAGCAATGTCATTACTGGATACATATCCAAATGTATGTCGAGGAGCTATCTGCACTCCCATGTTTATTGCTGCACCAGTCACAATAGCCAAGATATGGAATCAACCTAAGTGTTTATCAACAGAAGAATGGATAAAGAAAATATGATATGTATATATATACACACACACAAAAAAAAAACACAAACACACACACACACACACACACACAGAGAGAGGATGGAATACTATTCAACCATAAAATGAAAAAAATCCTGTCATTTGTTATAACATGGATGAACCTGAAGGATATGTTAAGTGAAATAAGCCAGGAACAGAAAGACAAATAGCATGTGATCTCACTCATGTGGAATCTAAAAAAGTTGATCTCATAGAAGTGGAGAGTGAACTTGTGGTTTCCAGGGTCTGGGGAGATCAGGTGTCGGGGCTGAGGAGATACTGGTCAAAAGATAGCAGGAATAAGCTTGAGAGATTTATTATACAACATGGTGACTGTAGTTAATAACATTTTGTATTCTTGAAAAATGCTAAAAAGAGTGGATATAAAGTGTTCTCAGCACAAAGATAATAATGATGTGAGGGAATGCACATATTAATTAGCTAGACTTCGTCATTCCACTATGCATAGATACTTCAAAGCATCACGTTGTACATGATAAATACAGTACATACAATTTTACACGTCAATAAAAAAATAAGGTTTTAAAAAAAGAGCACTCAGAAGGGAGTAACTCTGTCTTCCTCCTTTTCCAGACCTTTGGTTTTCTTCAGATGTGAAAAAAGGGGACAATTTCCACAAATTATGGGAAGGCAGCTATCAAAGACAATGCAGATATGGTGCTTTAGCTAGCTGCAATTATAATCCACTGGGACTCCTATGAAAAAATACAAAATGTACATATGTGTGCAGGGTAAACTCCATGATGAGACATAAATTTGAACTGCAAATCAAAAGGTGGACAAGTTTTCCAAATGGGTTATACATTCAGGGATTCAGCTTAGGCAAAAGGAAACTACTTGGAAGCAAGCTTCTGGAACCAGATTTAAAGATGAAAGGGAAGGTCTGGAAAAGGGTATAGCCCAGTACTTCTCAAACTTTAGCCTAGATAAGAATAACCTTATGAGCTTGAAAATGCTGATTGATTTAGTGTGTCTGGGGAAGGGCTTGATGTCCTACATTCCTCACAAGTGCCCAGATTATGCTGACACTGCTAGTTCATCAACCTCACAGAGCAGCAGAGGGGAGAAGTCCAAATGCGCAATCTAAGTGTTGATTCTTGAATGACAAAGCAATATTTGAAAGGCAGAGCAAATAGGCAACCTTTTTCCTACCAGATATTTTACTAAAATGCTGACAAAAGCTGAGGATGTAAGAGAATAAGTGAATTAATATAGTAGTACTGTATAGAACTGAAAAAATACAAGTCAATCTCTAAAGGTGACCCTGGAGAACTGTTGCCATGGAAGAATATGATCCCAATGTTACCAAATATCTCAGTTTGCTAATAGAAGGAATTCAGACTTTACTTTTAACACTAAACCTGCTGATTTGTAAATCCTGACTCAAATTAAGCACAAAGACTTATAACATTGTGAATCAAATACAAAGAATTGCCTTGCTAGACTTGTCCATCAGCTTGCGACTGTTTCATCCAAATGATCAAACACGGTCAAAGGATCTAGAATGTGAGCACAGGCAGGCAGAAACCAGCACGTAAAGGATCTGGGGGCTTGCTGGTATACCAACTGACTGAACACTATGAATTAGAGTTCAGAGAAAGGGATGCATTATGAGGAACAAGAATCAGAACTCAAATATCAAGAAAGTGTGTAAAGAAGATTCTTTGGATATAGAAAACTGATGTCAGGAGGTGTTGCGATAAGACATTATAGTCAGAGTTAAGGTGGATTTGAATGCAAAATGAGGATTCTTCAATTGTTTTCAATAAACAACTAAAAGTCACTGACTTTTGGTTGATTTAAGTCAGGACTGAGCTACTTAAAATATGGAAGGAGTCTGGGCCAGGTAATAATGTGATTCTTGAAATTTTGCTTTTTATTCTGTTGCCAAAGTTGTACCATCTGAGTGGACCATGACTCTCCACCCAAAGACCCATGTTGACATGGATGTTCAACACTTATGGCAGGGGGTGTATATGGTGAACAGAACCAGCTAGCACCTTGTATTCTATTTACTTTTTGATGTTTTAGCAGACCCTTATAGATTGGTGCTCCAGATAGTTGTCAGGGTGGCTAGACCTCTACTCTGGCTTTATGCAAGGGAGTGCCAAATGCAAAATGGATTCTTGGAAAGTGACCTGATATTGGAATAGTTTTGCCTACAGTGGAGGAAGTGGGTAGAGGGGCAGATTTGAGAGATATAATGATTGGGGAATAAATAGGATCAAGATAGTGGCTAGTTGTAACTAGAGAGCAAAATAAAAAGTGCTCCGTTTTATCTCTGCAACCTAGGTTCTTACAAGTATGATGGAAAACATAAAGTCATAAGAATGAACTTTCAGGCTACCCATGCATTCTCATTAAGAGAAAATGCACAACCTTTCTTCCATACTGGCATTTTTAATTAAGCTAGTATTCACAATTCTTTCTAGAGCTGTTTAGGAAGATCCAGTCAAGGCTCAGCTTTGTTTCGTTGTTTTATTGTTTATCAAGATGGTAGAAGCAGACTCTGTATGAAACTGTCAACATCAAAACACTTTTATTCTTTCTCCTTTAAATAGATAACACAATAAAGGTATTGCCTAATCCTGGCTTGTTAAGGGTATGTTAGAAATGCACTGGAAGTGTAGGGATGCTGGTCAAGTAAACCCCAAGCCCCAAGGACTCACCCTGAGCCAGGTGAATCAGAAAGCAGCAGTGCTAGACAAAAATAAAAGCCTAAATAAATAGCTTAATTCAACCTAAACAGCAGTTCTTGTAAATTTTTCAAATGCAATTCAGAATTTGCAGAGAGTAAGCAGTGTGAGAGCAAAATAGTGCCATTTGATAGCTGCTAACCTTTACTAAATACTTAGAACATTCCAGGTGATTTCATACCAAAATTATCTATATAAGTTAAATATAATGATAAAAGTTTGACCATCTCTTAACAATGCCCTAAAACAGGAAAATATACTTTTATATTAAGCAAAGCAACAGATCCTATTAAGAGTAGCATTCAGGCTCATCCATGCCACACAACTTGTCATGTCTTTTCTCTGAGACGCAGTACTGCAAAGGTTATTCCTAGGTTGGTTTTCTCCTTTTAGTTAGAAGGAGAGGAAGGCAGGAGTGCTTAGGTCCCACTCAACCAGACACTAAGGAATGCAGTTAGAAGGTAGGTTCCTGCCCCCAGGGGAAAGACTGTAACTTGACTATTTCTGTACTCCAGAAGTATGGGGGAGTGCATTTTACAGGCCAAATGAAGGTGAGTACAAACATCTATATACACTAATCTGAGCAAGAAGATGGACTAGATGATGTTGTCTATTTTGAGGGAAATGTGAAATAAATGTAATGAATGGGGATTTTTTTCTGTCTTTAGTTTTTTATGTTTATTAAATTTTGCTTCTTAGAACTTCTAAGAAATGAATATTTGGGGGCAACTCACAGATGCAGAGGTCTTCGGATCTTCTTACTTTCTCTGTGACATGGCTCTATTAAGCAAATATGTTTGTGTTTGAATGTTGACTTCTCCAGTCTCATGATATCACCTTTTGCTTTGCATTTGTTCTTACCAGGAAACAGAATGTGCCTACATACTCTTCGTGGTCGCCATATTTTGGCTTACAGAAGCATTGCCTCTGTCGGTAACAGCTTTGCTACCTAGTTTAATGTTCCCCATGTTGGGGATCATGCCTTCTAAGAAGGTAAGTCCTCTTGCCAAAGTCATAAGTTGATTCCCTGTTTTGTACTGAGATTTCCATTGAGAAACGTTATTTTTAGAGGGAGAAACCATCCCGTTGGTAAGGTTCCTTGTAAGTCCCCCAAACTTCCAACTATTTCTCCTCTCTGGCATTCTGCATGTGTGCCCACCTTCAAAGAACAAACACAAGCTGCAACTTCTTGATTCATACATGTCAGTAGGAGAAATGTATGTCCCCTCTTCTCTCACTGACATCTGTGCCTGGTGCCTCCCTCTCAAAAACAGGAAAATTTGTTGACATCCTCCATAAGCTTTTTATATTCAGCAGAATTCAGCCTCACGGTGTTGGAAAAACAATTTTGTTTTTAATGAAGAAAAAGTTTCCCTGTTTTCATTTCCAGAAACCCACCATTTACAAAGATAAAGCCAAACTAATTTTCATGTATAGCTCCAGGAGTTTATTCATGCTAAGAGGTGTTTATTGGTTCTATACAATCTAAGAGTACCCATCTGAAGAAAGTGGATTTGGTTTCCCAAATGCATTGAAAACAGTCTCCAGCCACCCAGAAAACAACTATCTAAACCACAGCTGAAACAGTCTCAAGAGAGATGTTAAGTTAGAGATGCCAGTCAGTGCAGTTTATCACCTTTGGACTTCCATCTTCTTCCTGGGTCTAACATTGCTCTCTTGCAGCTCACCCATCTTTCATTTTCTTTTTAACTAACCCTTGATTACATTTCTTCCTGTGAAAGGAATGGTTCCCTTCTTTATTTTCATGTCCTTCTTCCTGATTTTGGAGCCCCAGTCGATCTTTTTGCACTTTTTATCCTCTCCGCCCCTCTTTTCTACCTGGGTTTTCCCCTCCCACATAACTTTGAGTCTTTTCTATCTAATGACCATTGATTTGGAAGAGTGGCCAGGGCTGCACTTCAGTTCCTCTTGCCTCCAGGCTGACATTCTGCTGCCCCAAGAAATCTCAGAGCTATAATCTATTAAGCATCTTAAATGCCTCAACATGCTCTATGGCTTTCAATATCGGGAATTAAAAAAAGAAGGGGTTGATGAGTTGTTAAAAATAGGGTGTCAAATTTTTAACCCCTGTCCTACAGGCTTGGATGGTTCTGTGTCCAGAGATAGGTATGTTTAAGAGTTATACATTTGTCTCTTATGGTTTATTAACAATAAAACTGACTAAATTGACTGTTAAAAAGAGGCTGAAGTAGAAGTGAGATTTACTGGACTCCTGGGGCATTTTTGTAACAAGCTGTTACAGGAAGAGACATACAAACATGAGAGGGAAGCAGGAGGAAAGAGTACCTGGGAAGGGCTAGCTTTGTAGGAGCTGCCGAGGATATATATGTCTGCCTCTTTCTGGTGTGTAAGGGCCTGACTAAAGGCAGCAAAATTGTAGGTGCCAATGGTAGTTTTGCATCACTCTGACTGCAGACACCAGCCCAGCAGTCCTTTATCCCCAGACTAATTTAACAGTCATAGAATCTTAGATTTGAAAGGGAATTCTTCTTGGTCACTTCTCCCCCATCCAACAGGGATCCCATCCAATATCTCTTACAGATGAGATCATTCAGAAAGTGTTTAAAGGCTTTCTGGATTATGGGCCTCTAATATCCCTTAAGGAGAGACACATTATTTTTGAATAATTTTAAGTCATAAATAACTCAGCTTTATTGAGCCCACATCTGAAACTCAGTAACAGACTCATTAAACTTATTTCTAACATGTAGAATTTCATAAACAAACCTCACTTTTTTGCATGACAGTGTTGCTTGAATTTGAAAACTAATATCATTTCCTCCTTATTTCTTCCCACCTTGAGTCTTAGTGGTTTCCAGACCTCAACTCCCATCCTCAAATCTGCCATTTCCAACTCCATCAACACCACCATCTTCTTTTTTCTTCCTGAAACTAACTCTAGTTTGTTAATGAGACTTAATAATTAAATGAGTTAATAAATGTAAATTTCATTACATAGTAAGTACTCCATATATGTTAGCCAATGGTATTATTTATACATTCACAAAAGTGAATAGATGATTCTAGAAATATTTGGAGTGTTGCAAAGGTAAATTAGCCCATCGTCTTACCTATGGCATTTCAGCCTAAGTTTGTTTTAAACTTTATGTGATTCTCTTCACCTTGTAAGTTTAACTGGAACTTGCAGCAAATCATAGTCCTCAGAACTTTTAGTGGAGAAAACTGTTCTTCAGAATTGCGATCCTTTTTCCCAACAGAGTAACTTACCTTTTCCTAATAAGTTAGCTGACCAAAGCTACAGTCTATTATGAATCAGCTAGAGATTTAGTCATAAGGCCTGAGCTTAGAATTTGACATTTGTTGCCGATTACTTGGAGGACCCTGATCATGTCCTTTAATAACTCTTTTTTTTATCATCTGTAAGTAGAATATGATAATGCTACATAACCCATTGTTGTCAAGATCAAATTAAATAATGTATGTTAAACAATGATACAAACTAAGTATCAAGCATTCTTATGAGGTTTAATATTCACAGTTAAAGTTTGTTTTGAGAGTTTTAAACTATAATTCCAGGCCACTGCAGCATCTTTGAATCTCAGATCTGTCACTGAGTAGGATACCATGTCATTAATGCCCTCATCTAAGTTTAGAGCCCTAAACACCTCTCTCTCTGGCCATCATAGTTATCACTTTACCTATTTTTTAAGCCAATCCTAAATACTGGTATCTTGCTGAGCCCATTACTATATTTGAAGAATATCAACAAATGTTAAACTTTTCTCATATTTGTTGAACTGAACCTGAAATGCTAAAGTATGTAGAGTATGTTCAATTTGATATTTCAAAACAAGCATTAATATTATTGTCATCAAAAATATTTATATATAAATTTTACATATATGAATGTGAAAATACACATGTACAGATATATATATATAAAAAATATATATATAATGTCATGTATTTTTCAGTGATTCAATAGATATTCACCTGGTAGTACCCTTCCAGGGATTTGGGAACGTACCAATGAATAAAAACAGGCAAAATATTTCCTATCTTTCTAGAGGAAAGGAGGCAATGAATAATATATCTGATAAATAGAAATATTATACAGTATAGTGAGCTAGAAAGGTAATTTTGTGCTATGGAAAAAATGCAACAGGATAATGGGGATCAGAGAGAGTGGTAATTTTAAATAAGGTGGTCACGTTAGACCTCCTTGAGATAGTGATACCTGAACAAAGACAGGAAATGAAGGAGTTAGCCATTTGAATATTTGGAGAATGACTATTGCAGAAGAGGTAACATCCAGTGCAAAGACCTTATTGCAGGTACATCTGCAGTGGAATTGGAAGAGAGTAACTAAAGAGGAGAATGATAGATTAGGTCAGGTAAGTAATGTAATGAGGCAATGGACCAGGCAGGGTCAAACTAGGCCATTGCAAGATTTTAACATTGAATAAAATGGGATCCTCTGAAGAGTTTTGAGCACAAAAGTTACATGATCAATTTAACTTTGATTTTAAAAAGGATAATTTGGGCTGCTGTGTTGAGAAACGAGACAGAAAGAAAGAGACAGTAGGTTATTGCAGTAGGTGAGAGACCATGGTAATTCAGACCAAGGGCAGTAATAGAGATATCGAATGTATCGTTGATAAAATGTGAAGATAAAATCAGCAAACTTTCCAGATTGATTAGATATGGCATATGGTTGGAAGAAAAGTGTCAAAGATGCCTCACAGCTTATCTGACAATTGGGAAAATGGAATTGCTATCAACTGAAATGGGAAGATGATGGGAAGTGCAGTCTTACTCTAGGAGAGGGGCTGATACCTAGAGTTCAGTGCTGGACAGATAAGTTTGAAATACTCAAGTGAAGATGTTGAGTAGGCAGTTGAATACAAAAGAGTCCAGAGTTCATGGGAGAGAGCTAATCTGCAGATATAAATCTGAGATTCATCAAAATATAGATGGTATTTAAAGCCCTAAGACTTGATAAGATCACTCGGGGAGTGAATGAAGATAGAAAAGCAAAGAGGAAAAAGAACTGACCTCTGCATAGCTACAAGACTAAGAGGTAAATGAGAAGAGAAAGCACTAGCCAACGAAACTAAGAAGAAAAGGTTATTGAGGTAGGAGGAGAACCAGGAGAGTGTGTGAGCCTGTAATCCAAGTGAAGCAAGTGTTTTGAAGATGAGGCAATGACTATGTGTGTCAAATCTGCTGATAAGTCAGTTAATGTGAAAACTAGTTATTGACTATTGGATTTAGCAAAACAACCTAATAATTAACAAAGCACCTTTTAAAAAATATTATATCATTTAATTCACAAAGTTGGTGTGAGGTAATATTTAACTTTTAGAACTATTTATTGATTTGTAGAAAGGTTGCTGAACCGGTAAATTACATAACTAAGAGAGAACTCAGGTACTCTGATTGCAAAAGTCCGTGTTTTTTGATGAAATCCTATTCTGAAACAGAAATATAACTATGTTTATCTTGCAAATAGATATCAAATATTATTAGAAATTTTATTTGACATATCAATTTTGCCTTGAGAATAGTTATATTTATCAGTGTAATTTACAAACCAACAGCACCTTCTTCTATTACCTCCTGGACAAGTAGGCCATAACAAACACATCTGCCTGTAGCTAATGTTTCTTCTCAAATATTCTGACTCTGATGAAAACCATAGAATAGGTACTACAATGAAAACAGAGAATGTGAAATTTTTTTCTGAAGTTTAACTAATTTTATTTGGACTGCAGGCTATAGTTTGTTTGCATGGTCTGTTGAGAAAACTGGCAAACTGTGGGCCTGAAGGCCAAATCAGCCTGCTGCCTAATTTTTAAAATAAACTTTTTATTAGAACAAATCCATAGTCATTCATTGACATACTGCCTTTGGCTATTTTGTGCCATGACAGAGTTGAATAATTACAGTGAAGACCATATGGCCAACAAAGTCTAGAATATTTATTGCTTGGCCCTCTACAATATGCTTAC